AGTGAGGAAGCTGCAGGAGTAAAGTCTGAAGCTAGCAGAGGTTGGTTCAGGAGGTTTAAGGAAAGAAGCCATCTTCATACCATCGAAGTGCAAGGTGAAGCAACAAGTGCTGAGGTGGAAGCTGCAGCAAGTTCTCCCGAAGAACGAGCTAAGATCATTAATGAACACGGCTACGCTCAACAATGGATTTTCAGTGTACGTGAAACAGCCTTATATGAGAAGATACCACCTAGAACTTCCATAGCTAGACAGAAGTCAATGTCTGGCTTCAAAGGTCTGACTCTCTTGCTAGGGGCTAACACAGCTGGTGACTAAAGTGGAAACCAATGCTCATTTACCAGTTTGGAATTCCTAGGGCCCTTAAAAATGATGCTAAATCTACTCTGCCTGTGCTCTATCAGTGGAATATCAAAGCCTGGATGACAGCACATCTGTTTACAACATAGTTTACGGAATATTTTAAGCCCACTGTTGAGACCTACGACTCAGAAAAAAAGGTTCCTTTCAAAATATTACTGCACATTGACAATGCATCTGGTCACCCAAGAGCTCTGATGGAGATGGACAGTGAGATTAATGTTCTTTTGAGGCCTGCTGACACAGCATCCCCTCTGCAACCCATGGATCAAGGAGTCATTTTAACTTTCAAGTCTTACTATTTAAGAAATACATTTCATTAGGCTATTGCTGCTATAGATAGTTATTCTTTTGATTGATGTGGGCAAAGTAAATTGAAAACCTTCTGGAAAGGATTCACCATTCTAGATGCCATTAACATTCGTCAACATGGGAAGAGGTCAAAATATCAACATGAACAGGAGTTTGGAAGAATTTGATTCCAATCTTAATGGATGACTTTCAGGGGTTCAAGACTTCAGTGGAGGAAGTCACTGGAGATGTGGTGGAAACGGCAAGAGAACTAGAAGCAGAAGTGAAGCCTGAACACGGGACTGAATGGCTGCAATCTCATGATAAAACGTGAACAAAGAGTTGCCTCTCATGGATGAGCAAAGAATGTGGTTTCTTGAGATAAAATCTACTCCTGGTGAAGATGCTGTGAAGATTGTTGAAATGACAACAAAGGATTTAGAATATTACATGAACTTAATAGATAAAGCAGCAGCAGGGTTTGAGAGGATGGACTCCAATTTGGAAAGAAGTTCTATGGTGGATGAAATGCTATCAAACAGTATCCGGTGCCACAGAGAAATCATTCATGAAAGGAAGAGTTAATCAATGCAGCAAACTTCATTGTCTCGTTTTTAAAAATGGCCACAGCCACCCAACCTCTAGCAGCCACCACCCTCATCAGTCAGCAGCCATCAACATCAAGACAGGACCCTCCACCAGCGAAAAGAGTACAACTTGCTGAAAGCTCAGATGATGGTTAGTATTCTTTAGTGATGAACTCTTTTTAATTAGGGTATGTACATTTTTTTAGACATGTACCATTACCCACTTAACAGACTACAGTACAAACATGACTTTTATAGGTACTGTACAACAAACAGACAAAAAACCTGTTCATTCACTTCATTACGATCTTCACTTTGTGGTGGGGTCTGGAACCAAACCTGCACTACCTCCAAGGTATGCCTGTATGACTGGCTTATTTCACTGAGCATATTGTCCTCAGGGTTCATCCATGTTGTAGCACCCGTCAGACCCTCCTTCCTTTTTAAGGCTGAGTGATCCTCCATTGTCTATATCGTGTTCTGCTTCTCCACTCATTTGTCAGCGGACATTTGGGTTGCTTCCACCTTTGGCTCTTGTCAATAATGCTGCTATGAACATAGGTGTGCAGATAGCTCTTGGAGATCTTGCTTTCAGTTCTTTTTATGTATACCCCCGAAGTGACATTGCCAGGATCATATGATACCTTCAATTTTTTGAGGAACCACTGCACTTTCTGTCCACAGTGGGTGTGCCATTTTACATTCCCACCAATGGTGCACAAGGGTCCCAATTTTTCTGTACCCTCACGAACACCTGTTAGTTCTGTTTGTTTTTTTAATAGTAGCCATCCCAATGGGTATGAGATGGTATCCCAATATAGTTTTTTTGTAAATATTTCCTAACAATCAGTCATGTTGGGCATATTTTCATGTGCTTATTGTACATCCAAGTATCTTCCTTGGAGAAGTATCTATCTATTCAAGTCCTTCGTCCACTTTTGAATCCGGTTGTTTGTTTGCTACTGAGTTTAGCAGTTCTGTCTATGTTCTGGATATTAATCCCTTATCCCATAGGATTTGTGAGTATTTTCTCCCATTCCGTGGGTTGCCTTTTTACTCTGTGGATATTATCTTCGGATGCACGTAATTTTTCAGTTTTCATGAAGTCCAGCTTGTCTGTTTTTTCTTTTGTAGCCTGTGCCTTTGGTGTTATGTCAAATCCAATGTCGTGAAGCTTCTGCCTTACGTCTTCTTCTAAAAGTTTTATTGTTTAGGGCTTACATTTAGGTCTCTGATCCACTTTGAGTTAATTGTTGTATATGGTGTGAGGTAAGAGTGCAACTTCATTCTTTTGCATGTGGATGGATATCGAGTTTTCCAGTACCCGTTACTGAAAAGACTGTCCTTTCCCCATTGAATGGTCTTGGCATCTTCGTTAAAAATCATCTGATCACGTATGCATGGATTGGTCTTTGTATCTAATTCCATCTATTTACATATCTTTGTTTTATTCTGGAGTTTCCATCGATTGGTCCTCAAGTTCATCATTTGATTTTCCAGCTTTAACTAATCTGTTTATGCTATCAAGTATTACATTTCCATGGCTATAATTTGTAATTTTAAAAATCCTACCTGGTTCTTTTCCAAATATTGTTCTTTTGGTTTCAGCTCCTTTTATGTTTAATGACTTTAAACATAATACTTGTCTATTCCCCAATTATTACTCCATCATCTCGAGCTCTGAACTCTAATTTTTCTGTTTGTTGTATCTGTTCAAACTCTTGCTCATGGTGGGTTATTTCTTTGTATTTTGTAATTTTGATTGTAAGCTCACCCCTGTGGGAACTTGTTTTTTTCCATAGGAATAATGAAGAATTATTGCCTTACTGCCTCTAACAAAGGAAAGCCTGTGACAAGAAACAAAGTGGAAGAGTGGTTGCTGGAGGCTGAGGGCAGGGGGAGTGGGTAACTGTGGAATGGGTAGAGTTTAGTCTTATGGGATGAAAAGGTTCTGGAACTTGGCTGCACAACAATGTTAATACGACTAAATTGTGCTCTCTCGTGCACACTCTCAAATAAATTAATTTAAAAAAGATGGTAAATTTTATGTTATGTGGTTTTTAGCACAATTAAAAACAAAAATAAAACAAAAGGAAGGCTATGATAGAGCAGGTAAAAACAGAAGCTCTGAAGATGACAGATGTAGACCTGTCCTACAGGTTGACCTGTTGACCACATACCTATACACAAGCTCTAGTAGCCCCATTTAAATCTAGAAGCAATACCAAAACCCTCCCTTGATGGGATTCTTTCTCACCATCAACTACCAAACCTCCAGGCAAAACTGTCTACCTCAGCAGCTTCTGCCCCTTCGCCATGGTTCTCGCTTCCCATCTAAGGTCTCCGATGACCCAAAAGCTAAGGGACACTTTCCATCCTCACCTTATGGGACCCCCCAGTAACCCTCCACCCAACTGTCATTCCTTCCACGAACGGTTCTTCATCACTGGCTTCCCACATGACACGTTCTCTTGATTTTCTCCATTCCACACCGGCCTGTTCTCCCTCTTGGCTGAGTTGTCCTATTCCTGACTTCTACATCTTGGGGTTTGCTCCTCGACACTCACCCTTTTTATTCTTAAACTACGTCATCAATCCCCACTAAAAAAAACCCTGTTTTCATTTTTGAGAATAAAAGACAAATACATGGAAACAAAAATGGCCCATAATCCCACTGCCCAGATGGCCTTTGTTGATCTTTAAAAAAACATAAGAATCAAACAAAAAAGGGGGGGGAAGTATTTGTACAGGTTTGGAATATTCCAGAAGAATCAAGAGGTACAAGGTGGTTCCTCAAGCCAGGGGTTGTTTGTGACTCTTCCTATGCATTGCCTTGCCTGCCACATCCAAACCCTGGTCATGTCCTATCAACTCTGCCCTACAACACAACTAACTCACCCACTTTCCTCCCCGTCCACCAGCAGCCTCCTTTGTGCTCACCTGGATGATTCCAGTAGCCTCCTTCAGAACCCCCCTGAACACCTGTTCTCCCCTAAGCCAGCTTCTACAGGTCACACACCCTTCTTTTCTCACGAATCCCTTCAGCCAGGTTCCCATTTCGGGTCCCTGAACACACCACGTGCCCTTTTCCAGCGTGGAGCCTTTGCTCAGCCTCTGCAGTCAGCTCTCAGCCTCTGGCTTCCCAGGCTGGCTCCCTCTCCCCTTTCCAGAAGCACTGTTTCCAACTGCCCTCCCTAAAAAGGTATCCATCTCTATTTTTATGCATCTCAGACTTTTTTTTTTTTTGCTTCTTCTATGGTACGTGCCATATGTGTTTGGAATGCCTTCATGTATCTGTTTACTTCTTTGTCTCTGTCTCCCTACCAGACTCCAGGCCACGAGAAGGCAGGGACTGTTTCCATCTTGCTCTCTATCGTACCCTAGCACCAACTCCATATTTGTTGAATAAACATGCCAGGCATTGTGCTAAGTGCTTTAACACATTATCTATCCTATTCAGTGTTCACTTCCTACACACGTATTATTTTTTTCCCATTTTGCACATGAGAAAACTGAAGCTCAGGAAGGTTAAGTAATGAGCCCATAGTTGCAGTTGGGGAGCAGCACAGCAGGACTCAAACCCAGCATCTGGCTCCGAAATCCACACACACCCCCACCCCCAGTATGCTGTGCTCCCTCTCCTGCTGTCTACCTCTCCTCTCTCCTCAGCGCATGGCATGGGATGGCGGGCTGAATGGAGGAGTGACAATGGCCCAGCAGAGTTTATGCAGAGAAGGTGCTGGGTCTCACCCCGAAGGTTCTTACCATGTAGGCTGCAGAGGCTAGTTCGTAAATGATGGCCTGGGCCCCAAGCTCTGTCACACTAATCAGTCCTGAAATGTTGGCACAGACACACATAAAACACATCTTAGAAAGTGGGCTAAAGCAAACATTTTCCTTAGGAAACTAGAATATATCTTAATTTAAAAGAAGCGAGAGGGTGTTTGGATGGCTCAGTCGGTTAGGTGTCCACCTCTTGGTTTCCGCTCAGGTTATGATCTCAGGGTCGTGATACTGAGCACCGTGGGAGTCTGCTTAAAGGTTCTCTCCCTTTGCCCCTCCCCCCGACTTGCTCACATGCTCTCTCTTACCCTCTCAAATAAATAAATAAATCTTAAAAAAAAAAAAAAAGAATTTAAAAAGAAGCCAGGATTGGTCCCAGAAGCATAACCCAATGGCACAATTCACTATCCAGGCTGTGCTGAGGAGAGCCCCAGACGTCCACTCCCAGAAAGCTTCCAAGAACTAGGGCAGCTAAGACCTGATACAGGTTCAACCCATAAGCCCCTGTTGCACCAAGGAACAAAACGTCAGGTTTAAAGTGGAAAACAACGAGGCTCCTAGAGTTGCAGGTCATTGCTTGGGGAGCTGTAGGGTCACAATGTTGGAGGGGAAGAACGGAGGGTATGGAACTCTGTATAGACGTGGTGGGACTATTGGAGTATTCAACTGTCCCCAGAAACTGTAACATCAATCATTATCATCCTCTGTCTCTATTATTTCCTCTATTACTTTACTAGCAGTAAGATGGCTAAGGTGAATACCTATGACCGAAATTATTATAGCTGATAGAGCCAAATCAGTCACTCTGTGTTTATAAATGGCTTAAACACTTGCACGATGCCTAGCAAAGGTCAGCAGAAGCAGAGGGTCTGAGTGAGTCAGGAGACCCAGATTCGGGTTTCTGTTCTCTCTCCCCATGACCTTGCCAAACCTTTTAACTGCGGCCTCCCTTTCCCAACCTATAAAGTGAAGGGCAGTGAGGCACACCTAAGCCCCACTCAACTTGAATACGCTTATGGTCGAACAAGGATTTAAGCCTTTGTTGAAACTTCCATGAACACTTGACACAATGGAAAGGAAGGAGAAATAAGGCCTATGTCTCTTGAGAAACTCTGGAGACAAGAGTGGCCAGGCTGTTCTGGGATTTCTACTGGATTGTTGACAAACCTGCAAGGAAAGTTCCGATCTCAAAGGTCCACCACTCAATGCACACCATGAACATACTGGGAATAGCCAGCTGGATGTAGGAGCCCCATTCCTGCAAACAGTCCCAAGTCCAACCTGGAGAACAGGGAAGAAAGAAAACAGCTTTTACCTTGCAGCAGTCTCTGATGCCAAAAATTCTATTTCACATGCCTGCCTCCTCCAAATGGCCAGAGACTGGGAGTAACCATAGTTGCCCAGAAAAATAATACATTTAAAGAGGTCAAATAAGACCAGAGCTCGAGATTATAGGAACAGGGCTGGCAATACGTAGTGAAACTGAAGTATGTATATGCCCTCCCACCCACACATTTCACACCTAGGTATAAATGGCAAACTTTCAGAGAGCTCTATAAGAACACATGCAGGCTGTTCACTGAGGCAGGTTGTGCTTGTGAGCTACTGGGGGCATCAAAGAGATCATCACTGGGAAGCTAGAGAAGCAAACTATGATCCATGCGTATTACAGTTAAAAAGCAGAACACCAGATGCATATATGACAATACGGTTAGATCTGAAAATGTACTGCTCACAGGCAACTAACGTAAAAACAGATCCTTTCAACTACATCAAAATTTAAAACTTCTGTGCATCCAAGGACACAATCAACAGAACAGAATCTGGCAGCCCACGGAATGGGAAAAAATATCTGCAAATCATGTATCTGATAAGGATATCTGGATATCATAATAACCAGAATATACAAAGAACAAAAACAAAACAATCCAATTAAAAAATGAGCAAAGGACTTGAATAGGCATTTCTCCAAAGAAGATACACAAATAGCCAACAAGCACATGAAAGAATGCTCAACATCATTAATCATTAGGGAAATGCAGATCAAAATCATAATAAGATGATATCTCACACCCATTAGAATGGCTTCTTTAAAAAAGAAACAAAAAATAACATGTCTTGGTGAGGATGTGGATAAACTGTAACCCTTGTGCACTATTGGGGGTAATCTAAAATGGTGCAGCCACTACAGAAAGTGTGGTGGTTCCTCAAAAAATTAAAAATAAAAGTATCATATGATCTGGAATATCACCTCTGAGTATACATAAAAAGACTTGAAAGCATGACCTCCAGGAGCTATCTGCACACCCATGTTCACAGCAGCATTATTCGTAAGAGCCAAGAGGTGGAAGCAGCCCAGATGTCCATCGACAGATGAGTGGATATGCAGAACGCGATATAGACATAGAACGGACTATGATTCAGCCTTAAACAGGAAGGAGGGTCTGACGGGTGCTACAACAAGGATGAACCCCGAGGACACCATGCTAAGACACAAAAAGACAAATACTGTATATAATTCCACTTATATGAGGTATCTGGGGGAGTCAAAGTCGGACAGAAAGGGGAATGATGGAATGGTGGTTGCCAGGGGATGGACGGAGGGGGAACGGGAGTTTCTCTTTAATGGGGACAGAGTTCCAGTTTTGCAGGATGAAAAAGTTCTGTGAGATGAATGCTGGTGATGGTGGCCCTACAGTGTGACTGTCCCTCACACTACTTAACTACATGCTTAAAAATGGTGAACACAGTAAATGTTATGTTATGTATATTTCACTACAACTTAAAACACAACAACAGAATATTGTGCTAAGTCAGAGAGGCCAATGAACTTTTTCCGTAAAGGGCCAAATACCAAATATTTTCAACGTTGCAGGCCAGATGGTCTCTGCCACCGTAGCAGTAAGGGAATAGCAACAGGCGATGTGCAAGCGATTAGGGGCGGCTGTGTTCCAATCAAACTTTAGTTACAGAAACAAGCTGTGGCTGGATTGGATCGGTGGGGTCGTTTGCCAATATCCGTGCCAAATGAAAACAATTTATGGGGGGGAAAAAAGAAATCTAAACTATAATACTATTAAGCAAATATAAACATACATACAGCCAAAAAAAAAAACTACTTTGCATTTTTCAAAGATGCAAATCAAAAGACCTAAGCACAAAGAGGGTGCCTTCAGGGAGGAGGGTGGGAATTGTGACATGGAGGCAGAAAACACTCTAAAATGGGAGAGGGGCCCCGTAAGACATGATGGCATCTGTGTGCCATGAATTTGAATGTGAGAAACTCAATGCTTTGGATCTAAGGTCCAGGACACGAGAGGGAGAGAAGGGGGAGGGGAAGAAGGCACTGAAAAGCACTGAGGAATTTTTGTATGTAAGAAGAAAGACACCGAGAGCCATCTTGCCACTCACCCTACTGGGTCCCAGGAGAAGAAGAGAGGGTCTGGGGCCCCACCCCGTCCCCCCAAATTTGGAGGTGAAGGCTTGATGGGAGAACAACATCAAGAACCAACAGAGGAACGTGGCAGAGAAGCAGGAGACCTAAATTTCGTCTGGTCTCAGGAATTCAGCTGGATAGAGATCAAACCATTCTGAATACCTACGAACTCAGCTGGAGATTGAATAAAAGAGTAGCAGCAACTCTGAACAGAAAAGCAACCACTTTCTGGAAGGTAGGACGTGCGGAGAAGTGAATCCGAGGCGATATTCGGGAGGATAGACGGCGGGGGAGGGGGCCTCCGTTGGCCGCTTCTGGCAAGTGATAGAGCCGCGGAGCACAAAATCGGAACTTTTAGAAGTCGGCTCCGCGGAAGGACGTCGCTCCAGTGGCTAACGGGGGGGTGGGGGGGTGGAACCCTCGCTGGGACAGTGTGGTCTCAGGACCCTCGGGGTCACAGAAAGACCGGGGGTGCCTGAGTGCGGCAGAGCTCCCAGGTA